TTGAGGGGAGGTCTAATATAAAAATTTTTACCAAAACTTAAGTGCACACCTTCCCAAAGCACGGATCTTTACTGTCTCATACAGCTAGACAGACAGACCTACAGACCGACAGACAGAGCTTTTAGATGGGAAGGTTGGCAAGGCCACAAAGATAAATTCAAGGTAGACAAGTCATCTTGGAAGGCTATGTCGATTGCTTGTTTTTGTCTTTCTGGGGGGTGAGGTGGGGGAAAGTTAGAAAGGGGAAGTCTTAACAGATTTTCTCAAAGGACACAGGATAATCAGGAAGGCTGATGAAGAAATCTCAAGAAAGTTGGAGCTGCAACTGGTGAGACAATGGCCAGGAAAACTAGGCCAAGACATTTTTTTCGGTCATGAAAATACACCTGCACATTCTCTGGAGGTAACAAGGGCTGTCCTAGGAGAATTCCATTGGGAAACCCCACCCCACTCACCACTCGCCTGATCTTTCCCTGTCAACACTTCCTCTTGTTCCACAAACCCCAAGAACATTCAAAGAAACAACTGGAGTCCCTGGAGAATGCCCAAACTGCCATCTTGAAGTGGCACACGTGGAAGGGCACCGGACTAGGGGGAGGGTTGGCAAGACGGAAACCTGGCCTTCACAAGTGTACTGCCCTAGACAGGGGCTATGTTGACACACAGTAGCTTTATGTTATTTTGTTATTTTTGCTTAATAAAAGGGTTTCAATGATGTTGTAGCAATCCCTCTTGACTTACCCTTGTCTAATTACATATTGAAATAATACTTGGCATGAAATTTCAGTCAGCATGAGGCGGGGCACACCATCTAAATGGAGCGCCAGGAAAGCCTTCTCAGCGGAGGTAATCATGTAAACCAAGACCCGAGAGGCCAGGAGCTGGTCAGATGAGGAATGGGGTGAGGAGTGGTGAGCGCAGCATGAACGAAGGCTCTGATGGAGGAGAAGGCTGAACGCAGCTGAGGAGCTGAAAGGCCAAGTGGCTAAGAGGCTGCGAACGTGCTGGAGTCGAGGCTGGAGCAGCAGGTAGGGGCTTACCAGCCATGAATGGAAGCCCCTGAAGGGTTCTGAGCAGGAGAGGCACAGGATCAATCACTCAGGCTGCTTGTGGAGAATGGACTGGAGGGGGCAAGAACAGAATTAGACACCAGTCAGGAGGCGCCTCAGGTGTTCCCAAAACAGATGGTGATGGCGAAACGCTGATGGATTTGAGACAGAATTGGGCGGTCGTATTGATAGGATGAGGATACGGGAAGTGAAAGGAAGGATGATTCCTAGGTTTCTGTCATGAATAGCCATGAAAGGGCTGATACAATCCACCTTCAAAAAAAATTCTGTATTCCTCACATAGTTCCTATGAGCTCCTTACTCTCCCCTCTCACTCTGCCTCCAGTTTATTATGACTTTCTCTGGAGATCACGGTTCCTTCTCATTAGCTTCCCTACTTCTTCTGTATGCCTATTTCAACCCCCCCCCCCAGAGTATTCTCTTCCCAAGTCAGCGCCAGTCACGTTATTCTCCATTCTAAAGTCCCCAGTGGCTATCTCTCGTCCACTCAGTACAAACGCCTTTCTTCGGCTTTTCAGGCTCCACAATCTACCTTCCGAGTCTTATTTCCCAGCGCTTCTCTCCCTCCTACTATGGCCACTTTGAGCGGAGTCGGAGTACCTGACGTTCCTTGAGCATGGCACCACGCATTCCTCGTTCGCAGCCTTTGCTCAAGCTCTCTCTCTCTTGCCATCTCAGTCCGCTGCAACCGTGTTCATCTTTCAAAGTCCGTAATCGACGACAGCCTCATAAAGCTCCGTGCTTCTCTAAGGCACTTCGATGTCTGCCCTTTATTGTGGTTATGAGCGTACTTATCTCGCCCCCACTCCCTATTCCCCGTCAGCAGACCATGCTGCCTCGGAGGGCAGGGCTCTGCCATCCACATCGCACCTCCTTGCCCTGGCCAGGTTGAGCACTTCGGTGCTCAGTAGGTTTCAGTGAATGTATCAGGAGAAATTCAAGTTATTAATTAACTCAGTGAGATGGAACCCAAGTTGCTGAAGAAGGTGATGCTCAGTAGCATTCACTTAAGGAAACTTCACCTTTAGCATCCTCCCAGCAAACTCTCTGCGATCAGACACAGGGCAAACACACACACACATCCTTTCGCAGTCTTCGGATGGCTCCCAAACGCCAGTGCCGCAGCCCCAGTAGGGTTACCTTCTCCCAAGTGGCCTATGTTTAAAAAATGACAACTCCAACTTGGGGTGTTTTCAGAGTGCTTGGTGTGGTCCCTTAATGGGCTATGAAATCAATTTAGTGAGCCATAAACAATGCTAAGAAAAAACTCCAAACAGAATAGAAAATAGCCGAAGACAATGCCTGTAGTAAGGATAAGAACTGTTTCTTGAAGCTTTTGTTTCAAATACATATATTCACATACACATGGGTGTGTACTGTCATAAAATAAAGTGTGTATATATATATATATATATATATATATATATTTTTTTTTTTTACCATGGGCCCCAGTCAAAAAGGTTTGAGAACTAGTATTTGAATGCTCTGCATCCCACTTTAAGATCAGCACAAAAAGCCCAAGTAAAGTTAAGGTGTTAATTAAATTCAATTAATGTCAATTAAAATATGATGAAAAGTTATTCACACTCTGAAATGTGAATGACTGACATACGAAGTGTTCTAAGCCCAAAGTGATCTTTAACTGGTAGAAAGTGGATCTGAAGTTATTTTGTATCATCAACCTTCTTGGTACCTTTGGCAAGCATTTCCTCCAGTATCCTAGCCCTTGCTTGCTTCTCCCTGTCTTGTTCCCTGAGAGAGCTGGGATCAGGAACCAGATACTCCCCTTTAGAAAGGCTACTGGTTTCTAGGTTACAGTACACAGAAGTGATACTATCTTTGTTAAGTAAACATAGTTACAACCAGCATGGACTCTCTCTATGCATATTATCTAGCTTATCAACTGATGTCTCTAGGTATGGGGAATTTCTGCATTCCAAAACTTATTACCTAGAAAATACAATTCCACCTCTCCACATGAAAGAATTAAATGTGATATGAAACAACAAAAAGCCCCAAGTTGATCCAAATGAGTTACTGAAGGCAAAGGTATATGTAAGATACAAAGGAGGATATGATGAATGGTAGAATGGGCCAAGGGCCTCATGAGTATAATAATGTATTATATTAGTATTAATTACCTTGTTGACTAGTAGATGGTGAGAGAAGAGGGACAGGAAATGGAAGAAATAATTCTCTCTCTGCCATTCCCCACAATACCTACTCATACCCCACCAAGAGAATACACACAGTATTCGAGGATCTCAGCACACAAAAGACAAATTCCAAATCCTAATTCTGCCCCTAGCTCCACTTAACAGGTACTTCCTTATAATGTGTGGCTACTTGTATTATTCTCAATTTATGGTTGCTAAGTCAACAGTGAGCTAGCTTCCTTGAATGTAAATACTCTTGTCAATTACAGTCCTGACAAATAACTGGGTCAGAAACAAAGTTGAGTTGAAAGAGTAGGAAGTTCAAAGCTGTTGTGCATAGTACTAGATGGAAGTGTTGGTAAAGTAGGGTTATGCCTGGTGGACACTGTGAGTCACAAGCATACGGTTGTTTCCATCTCCAAAATCTTACACTTCCACAAGGGAGGAATAAGTGGCTCTTAGTTGTAAGAAAGGTAAACCATCCTTGATTTAACATGTAATAGGCAAAGAACAATAGTATTAGCCAAGGTGCTTTAAATATGAATTACTGCCTCTCCCATTATCTAGATAGGGTTATCACCTATGAATGCTATCCTATGTCAATGTGTCTACTGAGTCTTGGATAAGGTTCAAACTTCCCCTGGCATTTAAGGCTTTCCACATCTGCACAACTTTACTCCCATTTATTAAAGTTCAGATCTCTGCTTTCACACCAGTCTTGCTTCTTATCATACTTGCAGCTTTGGCTTAATCCTTCCCCTCCCCCACTCCCACATAACTTATCTTCAGCCAAACCTTCCAACTACTCAAATACACAGACTCAGTTCTTGACCTTTGAATTCTACTTAACTCTACAGTAATCCTTTGAGGTAGGCATTATTGTTTCCAATTCATAGACAAGAAAATTAAGACCCAGGAAGGTTAATGAATAGGGTCCCACTCTGCAAGCAGGCATGGAGCTGGGGTTGTCTTCAAAGCCACGCAGTCTCTTCATAGCATGTTACCTCCATGCATTAAGGAGGAAGTAAGAAAGCCTATACACCGATTATAATACAGCTTGCTGTGACATACATTTAGACATACCACAGCCTTTAAAGGACATGGGTAATAAATGCTTGGTTTAGCATGAATAGTCTTGAAGGGGCTTGTTCGTCCTGTTTAAAGTCCACTAATAAAGAGATCGTATTTCAGGGCAATGACTGGAGGATAGCTAAAGTTAAAAAAGCAATATGGTATCAATGAAGGAAACAGGATAGAAACAAGACAGAAATGAAACGAAAGTGCAATATAAGCTTTTAATGCACAAAATACTCAAGAATATGTAAGTATGAAATATGGCTGAGGAGGCCTAAGCTGGTGGGGGGGTATCTTACCGGTAAATGCACGCGTCTGTGGGTTGTTATTAATAACAGACAGCAGAACACATGGGCAGTCTAACTCAAGAGAGCGACAAATAAGGGCAGGTCGTGCGGGCACCGGGAGGAGAAGGGCATAATGTGACAGCGGGGGCGTCGAAGGAAGGGATAGGGGGCATATAGCGGGGGTCGCAGGGGAAGCCTGTTAGGAGGTTCAGAGGGCACAGCGCCCCCAGACTCCAGACAGGACCGTTGTCTCTCCCTGATCAGCAGGTTGGTGTGTTTCAGGATTCACACCCGCACCTCCCTCAGAAAGCCTCCACGGGTGGCTCTGGGGGGGGGGGGAGACCGTGACCCCCTACCTCTTGCACCCCGCGAGGACTCGGCGAGGGGGCGGAGGGACGCAGGAGGGTCCTTACCCAGGAAGATGGAGATGATGAGCCGCAGCGCCTGTTCTGACGCGCCCAGGGACGTCGCCAACTTGTGAAGGCTCAGCTCTTCGAACCCCGCCCGCAGCACCTTCACCAGCTCCACGGCAGTGCCCACGGCCCCCTCGGTGGCGGACGCCATCTTAACTCCGGGCGCCCCTCAGGGACCCCCCAGCTCTGTGCGCCCCGAATGTGGGCAAAAACGCTGTCGCTTTCCCCTTAATTCCGGCCCGGGGCCCGCCCACGGCGTGCGCATTGGCTGCAGGCCCGCCCCGCGGCCCCAGGGCCGCGCTGTTATTGGCTGGTCCGGGGGCGGGGCGGGGCCTAAGGCAACAAGGTACGGAGGAGGCGGGTCTGAACGTTGGTGAGGCAAGGTGACTCCAGCCGGGAGGGAGCGCCCGGTGGGCAGCGGTGGGCGGGGCTTGGAGCCGGGAACCTGCCTTCCGAGTGGGAAGGTTAAAGCCCGCGGCAAGGGGATTGTCCAACTCGGTTCCAACTGCTGCGGGGAGGAGTCCCAGAGGCCGAGTGTCCGGCCGACTCGCTCGCGCGCTTCCCATTGGCTGAGGCGGGAGCAGGCGAGCGCCCAGGCGGGGCGGGGGGCGGGGGCCCCGTCACGCCCGCGGGGTTACTCGCGGTCGCCGGCCGGTGGGGTTATCGGGGCCGGAGCCGTGAGGGCGGGAATTCCTGCGGCGGCGGCGGCGCGAGCGCCCCCTAACGGTGCCCCGGCCGTTCCAAGACCGTTAGACACGCCCGAGAGCCGCCCGCCCGCCCGCCCGGAACCCGCGCGCCTCCTCTCCATCCCGTCCCTTCTGGTCCGCTCTCAAAACGGTAGTGCGCCGCTCCCAGCGATGCCTTGTGTCACTAGGTGACCGTTTCCAGAGGCGAGGAAAGGAAGACAGGCAGTACGTGAAAAAATACTTATTATTTTAATTCAAAAGGAAGTTCGTTTTTTTTCCCTCCCCCACCATTTAAGTAAGCCATAGGCATGACAAAGTTCTAACAGCATGAACCAAAAGGCCCAGACCCCAGGGCGTGAATTCAGACCGGAAGCACCCGGATAGGACGGAGTAGCATTCCTCCTAGGCTTCCCAAGGCTGCTGAGTCCCGCAGGGGGCTGCCACCTCTTTCGCGTATGGTGTGGCTCGCCTTTTGCGTCACCAGCCACCTGCAGAGTCCCCCCATCATACAGCACAGAAATACATCAAGGAGGAGATAAAATTTCCACCCTACTTCCCACGTTTTCCATCGGCATTTTCAGCGGGTCAGTACTGTTCAGATAGCGCTACCCAAAGCCTTTGGCACAACGCATGTGCCGGAGCCAGGTACTGTGCTGGGCTCAGGGAAATGGAAGGATGGGCTCAAATCCATAGCGTGTGGGAGCTGACATGCACAAACAGCACAAATGTCGCCAGCCAGAGTAGGGGCTCTGCGGGAAAGGAGTAGGATTCCCTGACAGCATGCGATAAAAGAACCCTTAGAGTTTCTTGTAATCACTGGGATGTAGGGGGCATTTTTCTATTACAGAACAATTACAGCTTTGACAGTCCTTCTGCAGCACTTTGCATTCGTAAAGCACTTCTATCCACTTAATTTGTCTAACAGGATTTTTATTATTATGTTCTTTTTAAGACACTGACATTGTCACTAATTCCACCTCCCACCTACGAAATGACAAAGACAGGATTGAAACCTAGGGCTCAGGACCCCCCTCCTTTTTCCCCTGAAAAATATGAAATATATGAGCCATTTCATATATAGAAACTAACATCAGGGGCAGAAGATATCTATCTCTCTCGGTTCACTCCTTTGGAGACTCTCTACTGACAAGGCTGACTTCCTGTGAGGCTTTCCTGAGGACAAGCCACAAGGACCTACCCTGATGCAGCCCAGGGAACTGGAATGGCCATGTGGAGACCCCTGCCAGCGCTGAGATGCTTCTACCACCAAAGACTTTCTACCCACTGGCCCGTGATCGTCTGCATTCAGCATCATCACATGAGTTTTGTGACTCTGATTATAGATTGATATCAGAAATATAGGCTAATATCTGACACATGACCTTGGTCTGGACTGGGTTGGGATGTTTTCTTAATACAGTGAACCCTCGCCACTTCACGCTTCGACTTCCGCTGCTTCATTCTATTGCGGTTTTTGCGTAACAGCGCATGCTCTGTCATTACTGCCACTGATTGGCTCATACTGTACACGCTTGATGCCGTAAATAATATAATAAATAATAAATGATAATTGTAACGTCCAAAATGTTTTACTGTATTTTCCCTTTTTCGCTTAATAAATTGGGTAATACGAGTGTAATGGTGACTAAAGGGTGTTTTTTCATGTCCTCTATGCTCTAACTACGAAAATATTTGATTTACAAATAAGGAATCCTACTTTGCGGAATTTCATTTATCACGGTAGGGTCTAGAACCGACTAACCGCGATAAACTAGGGTTCACTGTAAACAATTACCTTTTATATAAAACTCTCTCTTATATACAAAAAAACAAAACAACGAAACTAACATCGGCACCAAAGCAGTTACTAACATGTCAGAGTGGAAGTCTTATTACAAAACGAGGGAGGTAAAGAGGAAGAACAAGATGAAGGCCCTGAAGCAGGCAGCAAGGGATGTGAACACTATGGTTTTGTGTGAAAGGAAGATTCCCCTGCCTATCCCTGCATGCAGGTCTTCTGTAGAAATAGAGGAACATATTACTACACCAAGAGGATACATTTAACAATATCTGTAGCACAATTTCCTGGTTCTTCAACAAATTGCAAAGGGAAAAGAATAGAGGTAGCATCTTTAGATTAAAAAACAGAAGTAAAGAAGTGATTATCAAAAGCTAGGGTAGGGATGACTCTTGGAGGGTGGGGGCATTATTATGGGCATGATATGGGGCGTGACTGTTGTAGGTGCCATTGAATTGGTTCTGACCCACAGCGACCCTGTGCACAACAGAAGGAAACACTGTCGGGAAAAAAGAGAAACAAACGAACATCAACCAAACCCCGCCGAGAATAATATGACTTTCCCCGGGTCACAAAACAAACATCACACCTAGTGTGTCCGTTTCTGATGGGGCTTCCTTCCTGCCTTCTCATGGCCCCTGTATATTTTTACACATATTGTAGGTACCTAGAAAAAAAAGACAGTAAAGCCTGCGAAAGTTGCAACTTATGTAAGGTCAAAACCTGTCAGAGAGAGACAATGAAAATATTCTCCATTAGTTAGAGAGACAGTGGTGGGATTCAAATAGTTTGACAACTGTTTGCTCCCCTAATGACAGTTTTCATACAGTTAACACTTAAATAAGAACAGCAAAGGAGGTACACAAAACTAGATTATAAGAGTTTTAAAATATTAATGTAAAACATTCCATAATACCTGACAAAACCCAATAAAACTGTTATGTAAGATACTTCCATCTTGCTTCTTGGCTGGTGTCTTGCCATAGTCTCCACTTTAATCTGAGCACCATCGGCTGTGTGACTTAGCCTTAACCTTCTTTGCACTGTGGGAGTAGGGTCCCATTCCTTTAGCGGTAGACCAATTCAGGGGTCCTCAAACTTTTAAAACGGGGCCAGTTCATTGTCCCTCAGACTGTTGGAGGTCCGGACTATAGTTTTAAAAAAAAAATGAACAAATTCCTATGCACACTGGACGAGTCAGCTGCCAAGCAGGACAGGCAGCGGCGGCAAAAACACCCGGCGGGCCAGATAAATGTCCTCGGTGGACCCCATGTGGTCCACGGAGCCATAGTTTGAGGACCCCTGAATTAGACAATATTTGTTGGCTATATTAGAAGCAGGTGACTTCTCTGAGCATATTATGTTCACTTTTGAAAAGCCCCTTTCTGCTTCTGCCCAACTGACAGCACTCGTACTGACAATGTATTTAGCTCTTTGAACACTGCGGAATTGCATAATTCACTCACAATATCTCGTGGGCATTTGGAGTGTAACAGCAGAGACAAGTGACAGCGTGTCCCCCTCTGGTGGCTTGGCATTTTCCTCTGATATTCTATGCTTGTTTACTGAAATCACAAACGCCAGGGAAAGAAAATGTAGCACTTCATCAAAAGAATAATGAGTCTGATGAAACGAGGCAATAAATATTACAAGCATAGCTCCATCCAATGTATTATATCTATGGACGGAACAAACGATTACTACAGGTGTTTAGAAGACGCGGTTGTGCAGATGAACATTCAAAATGAGTAAGGAACGTACACCTGTGATTTCCACATTGGGCAGCGGATGCCCAGCTGCCCCCCTTAGAAAGAATCCCGGTACAAGTACCATTTTAACACTGGTTCACAGAACTTAAAAATTCTTTATTGGTTCTGCTGAACCAGTTGAAACCAGCCGAATCCCACCACTGGTTAGAGAGTTGTAGAAAATGGAAAATTGACAAGATCCAGGAAAACAAGGCAGTCCTATGGAGTTCTAGCTCCCATAGACTTCACTGTATAGTGCTGTTTTGCATGGTTTTTAATTTTGCCTAGTCACTGTAGATTCTGCCTCACGACGACCCCTTATACGATAGAAAACAATGTTTCCAGCCCCTCCCTCAGACCACAGACTGTTTCCAAGCCCCATGTCCTCTTAACGATCTTGGTCTGTTTGAATCCATTCTTGAGGCCACTGTGTGTGTTTTTTCACACTGATACATTTATTAAAATATAGACTAATGACTGTGCTCAAATATCACTGTGGTTCTGTGCTGACTTCCACAAAATGTAACTGTCACGGACTCTTCACAACTATATTCTGAACAGAAAGAAACAAGGTCCGCCGAGATGACGGTCAAGACAGAACTATTGCAGACACCTGTGATGGATGCCTGCTGGGAAATTGTGTTTTGGCAGTATTTACAAGGATAGCAACATTCACGGAGGCAAAAGGGTGCACTATCACAAGAAATCTTTTCACATTTGCCAATTAATTTTATGTAGTCATTCACCAGAAGAAAACAAAACAAAACCCCAAACTTGTTCTTAACAAGCAGATTTTTTTTTTTTTTTTTAACAAGCAGATTTTTAAAGTCCATTCAGTCAAAGAGTGGCCTATCTTTCTGGGTCTATCCATTTGCGGATGGGAGGAGACTGGAACCAGGTCTTTCACAGCATCCATTCTCATGCAATGCCCCATGGGCATCTGCTATCCAGTTTCTTTAAGATAAATGGAGTGAT